TCCCATATAACGGTAATTTCCAGAAATACGAAAACTGCGATATTTTAGTAACTACTAAAGATAATTCACTCAAAATTGATATTTACAATAATTTTTAGACGAAAAATAAGAATATTATAAATTTTTGGAAAATGGGCGTAGCCACGCCCACTTATGGTTACATGTGTATATCTTAGGAACGGCTGCACCAATTTCTTCCAAGCTTGGCACAGTTGTTGGCCTTCGAACAGCATACCAAATGGCCGAAAATTTTTAAAATCGGACAATGACCACGCCCACATCCCTTATAACGGTAATTTTCGGAAATACGAAAACTGCGATATTTTAGTAACTACTGAAGAGTATTCACTCAAAATTGATATTTGCAACAATTTTTAGACGAAAAATAAGAATATTATAAATTTTTGGAAAATGGGCGTAGCCACGCCCACTTATGGTTACACGTGTATATCTTACAAAATCTTCGATAAATCAGTAAATATTGAAGCTAATTTATTCAAAATTGATGCTTGCAACAATTCTTTACCAAGAAATACGTTTATGGTAAAATTTTGGAAAATGGGCGGGGCACCGCCCACTTATGATCACATATATGTATATCGGTAACCGGCCGCTTTTCATATAACGGTAAATTTCAGAAATGCTTGAAACTTCAATATTTCGAAATTGAAGGACGCTAATTTACTCAAAATTGATACACCCCGGCTTACCATCTAGCGGTAGGTTTCGGAAAGGTGAAAAAACATATATTTAATATTTGCGCCGGGTATTTAATGTTCGGCTCCGCCCGAACTTAGACTTTCTTACTTGTTTTTATATATATTTCAGTTATAAGTATTTTTCGTAAGGTGTCTAAACTCCTTAAGTATTTGTATCGACTTTTCTAACGCCATTCATAGTAAGTACCTTTGCCTCACTGGATTTTTATGCGGTTTTTTAGGATTTTTTACACGTAGTATCTGAATTTATGCGGTTTTTGAAACTGCTGGAGCGCATCCCCTGTTTTTGTACGAAAGTAAAGAGCTTTTGTATGCAGATTTTTTTATTCGGCTTTCTGAGGAACGCATGTACCGCATAAAAAGAGACCTAAGTGTATTCAGTATAAGTATGTATGTAAATGTACCTACCGATATGTTGGCACTGGATGGCCTTGAGCAATGCATGGCAACGTTGTTTGTCCATTAAGAACAACATGTCGCAGAGAATGCTTTTCGACGTTTATACGCGGTTGCACCATGCCTTTTGGATCTGTGACAATGATGCGCCCAGGATATGTAGATATTTGTATTTCACCTGTAATAAAACAAAATGACTTTGATTACAATTATATTTTGTTGAAGTCAGTAGTTTATAATGTGTTTCGAACTGGTTGAGTTTTGAAGCCGTTAGCAGTGCGCGCTGGTTTTCAGCGAGGCCTGTGCCTAGCTTCCAACCAACACCAAAAAATAAAACATTTAAAAGTTGTTTCTAATGTCGGTCTTCCCCCGACAAAAAATGGCAAACCCCGAGTGTATTTGTGCCATGAAATACAGCTGCTCATAAAAATGCAATCGCAGGCGAAGTCGGCGTAAAACTGTAGATCCTTCCCCTTTGCGAGACATTATCAAGATGCAGCAACAAATCGGAGGAGAAACTCGGCCAAACACTAACATATTGTGTAAGCGCCAATCTATTATTTTCATATCAATACAAACCGCTTCAGTTGAATAGGCATCGGAGAATGCAGCGTATCATCTACATAGTTAATTTGAAGATTGATAGATTCTAACGAAAAATTGTGAAATCGAAGGAAGTACCTTGGATACTTTTTTATACTTTTTATTTGGGTATTATTATTATATGTTCTTTGAGATAACGAAAGTGCTGCCGCGTCCGAAAAAATGGTTTTTGGGCTAGAGTATACGGTAACTTCTATTAGGTGTTTTATTTGACGAGAAATTTAAGCTATTAGCTTATTTTGTATGGAAGACTTGGCCAATATAGTTATGTTGGCTAAGTCTTCCATACAAAATAAGCTAATAGCTTAAATTTCTCGTCTACTAACACACTGCTATTAAATTAATAAAGAAATGCGTCCCGACTTTTAAAAAATATTCAGCGTGACAATTTTCTCAAAATCGGTACTGTGCCGCCAAAATCGGTACGAATGGTCACCGTTACTATACCCCATAGCATAGGGCTGCCAGATGTCCCGGTTTTCCCGGACATGTCCCGGTTTTAGACTATTTGTCCCGGTGTCCCGGTCCAACCTTAAAATGTCCCGGGTTTCGTTTTAGTGTCCCGGTTTTTGATTTGATTGCACAAATTTGAATAAAAGTTCAAAAATCACTACACTAACGGAAAAAACGCGTTGTAATATTCTGAAAAATGTTATGAATTCACTGAGGGAAATAACTCATAGTAAATATGAATATTTTCTATTTGATTATCGTTTAAAAATGTTCGTATTTAAAAATAATACTTTCATAACACGCACGCGTGGTGTTGCTTCAAAATCAACATTTAAATGCACATTTACATGTCTGGCTGTAGCTGAGTGCGCGACGATGCTTGCCACAATTTGCTAATTTCCAGAGGGTCAGGGTTCAATTCCCATTACAACCAGCATGGAATTTAAATATTTTTTTAACAATCGGTAATTGCAAATCACTTCATTTTAATATAGGCGTATTTGAATTGAATATTTCAATACTAAATGTTAAAATTTGTATACTTAAATGTATTACGAGTTGGGTTGGTGCTCTTTCATACGCATGTTTTTTAATTTAGCACGCTTTTTTAACTCTAAACTTCTTTCTCTCAGTGCACCGGTTTAATTTGTGAAATAGTCACATTTCGAGATAGTTGAACCTTGCACAAGCAATAGTTGATGATTAGCAGGGAACGGATTTTATGGAAATTGCCTTTTTTTCTGCTAAAGAGATAGAGTATATTCGATTAAGACTGTCCACGATTTAGCTTTCCCTGATTCCATATATACATATTTGATGTTGGCTTTTTTTTTAAGATATTTGCCTTTTCTACCTTTAAAAGGGTGATTATAGCATTTACAATTTTTGTTTTAAGATTAAAAAATATACACATGCCCATGCAGCTTATAGAAGCGCAGGAACCTCTTGCCAAATTGGTGTTGGAAAAATTCAAAGCCGTTTTCTCAGCTAACGTAGGCTTGGAGACAATAAGGGGTGTGGAAAAAATTGTAAAGGGCGAGGAAAACGCCCTTATTCCTGATAATATGAACGTTTCAAACGTTCCCTATTTAAATTGGGCTCCACTTGTATCAACTTACTTCGAGCGCACATTTAATACATTCAAGGCTTTTCTTCCCGAAAATCGAATGAAAACTTCTAAATGCATCTTGTGGTTCAATGTTACTACAACTATACAGATTAAAGTTTTATGAGTAAGAAACTCGAAAGCATAAAGTAGTCAAAGATACAAAGTACTATTTTTTCATATAATGAAACTAGTTCATAGTTTTTCTCTGTTTACTTGTAATATAAAGATTTCGAAAATAAATGTATTTTTTGATTGTTCTTCGTATTTTCTGTCTTTTTTTTAGTGCCTTATTTTTCTTTTTTTTGCAATACCTAGTGCCTTTTCTTGCCTTTTTCGCTGTTTTGTTTTGCTTTTTTTGCCTTTTTTGCAATACCTAGTGCCTTTTCCTGCCTTTTTCGCTATTTTATTTTACCTTTTCCAGCCTATTTCGTTATTTTATTTTGCGTTTTTTATAGGTTTTTAGGTCCTAAAAATCCGTTCCCTTATGATTAGTATATCGATGGCTGAGTGGAAGATCGACCTATCTCGGCAGCCAGTTCGAAAACGCCCTATCTCAGAAAATCTTTCAACAACGCTTTATCTCAGAAAACTGTTCAAAAACGCCCTAATTCAGAATATTATTGAAAAACACCCTACCTCAGAATTTGTTTGAAGAACGCCCTATCTTACATGCCGATTCAAAAACGCCCTATGTCAGCTTATTTTCAAAGTATTTTCCTTTGAGATAGGGCGTTTTTGAACCGAATTCTGAGATAGGGCGTTATTCAACCAAATTCTGAGGTAAGGTCAATCAAATTCTGAAGTAGGGCGTTCTTGAAAAGTTTTCTGAGATAGGGCGTTTTCGAACTGGCTGCCGAGATAGGTCGATCTTCCACTCAGCCATCGATATGTACCTAAATACGTTCAAAATGACGTGCACAGTGTTTTACAATTATATTAAGGAAAAGACAGAAGTTTTGAAACAAGTTCACAGCAACGAAAAATATGACTGATATTTTAATGTTATCTTGCACTTATATTTTTTTCATTCATGAAACCTAGAGTACTTATAAGTACAGTGCCGTACAAAATTATTGGCTTGGAGGCTCTTTAATCAGATCACGATTTATAATCAGATCTTTTAGAAAAATTTTTAAAATCTAGCTTTTGAGCCAATTAATAAAGTGCAAGTCTAAAGTTGTCAGCAAATTTCGTTGATTTTTAGCATTTTTTTTTTTTGCTGACAGTGTCTTCCATATAAAAAGAATTATCAAACATAGTTTGTATGGAAGAAACTCTCAGTAAAAACAATACCAAAAATCAACTAAAATTTAATGGGCTGCAAAACTTCATTTTAAACATTTTTATAAAAAGTCTGATTAGAATGTTGCAAATTTGTATGCAAATTTATTGAGTTTTCCCGAGTTTAGCACAAGGTTTAACAATTTTATTTTTATGTTTTTTCATATATTTTGTAAAAACTGTTTTTTTATAAAGAATAAAAAAGGTTCATGCATTGTAAAAAATGCTCTGTGCTTTAGTTGTGATAAGTGGTTTTGTTTTGGTGGCGTACGTAATGATCTCATGCTCTCATGTTTTTATGTTTTTGTTTTTGTCTGTCAAAATAAAATTTCCCTACGTCGAAATGAAAGAGAAGGGAGCGAGAGGCCCCCCCCCCCTAAAGTGTCCCGGTTTGGCAACAGAGATATCTGGCAGCCCTACCATTGCACTCCTGTGGCTTCTAATTTGGTATAAAACTATTTGCAGCCATTAACCAACAAATCTGTTGTTACAAGCACAACTTAAGCAATGGTGCTATTCAAAATAAAACTATGAGTGGCGAATTAAAAATTTTAAAAGTTATTGGGAAAGGTAAAGTCTGAAAAAAGTGAAAGTAGTGTAAGGTAAATCAGTCTTATCATGAGCAGTGTTGCCGCGAATAATATTTACTGGTAGCCAAATTCCTTTAAAAAAAGGGCTAAAAAAGAGTTAAAAAAATTCGTTGTGGCTAAAAATGGTAGCTAAAATTTTTTACACGCAAACATTTTGAATAAGTAATGGTGTATAAAAACAATGAACTCGGGGAAAAAAAGTTAATATTTTATCCAACCAAAAACCTTTTTGTATAGAAGGTGAAATATACCGACACCAGCTTGCTGCCTCCATCAAGTGATTGTACCATCAGGATCGAAGCATGTAACTTACCAGCATGCTGCTACAATATTTATTTCTTTACAAATGAGGTCGAGGAAAGATCGAAATGGTTAGAGCCGAAATTTAGTTTTTATACCATTTTTTTAAACATTGTTTTTTTTTTTTACTCACAACTGCAATATCGTGAACTTAGCCTTCCACAAATACGGCTTTGACTCATATAGTGCAAGAAATTTACGCCAAAATATGTTTTACTTAGAAAATTGAGCTAATTTCACCACTCACGACACCAGCATGCTGGTACAATCATAAAATTTTCAAACAGTTTTTGAAGTCGCACCAGCAGCTGGTACAATCACACCACAAGAACATACACGGTCAATCGACCTGATGGGCCATTCAACAAATTAAGCATATTATCTATTTTAGACTATAGTTAAATCGTTAATAGATAAGTTAACAGCCCTAACACTTTTACAGTATGTATGTATAAAAACTAAGGAACATACAATACATATATCTATATATATCAGTCTTTCTTAGTTTAAAAATTCATCTCTTACATAAATGAAAAAAATGAGACCAAATTAAGCATATCGTCGTTTAAAGTGCAAAACCGTGTATCAACAAAATGCAAAACCGCGTGTCAGCAAAATGCAAAACCGCGTATGTGAACTTGTAGAAATTATTTTCTAGAGCGTAAAAACACTCATATTTCACAATGGCTTTTTTTTTATAAAGCAATCGCATTTCTGGCTAGTATATTTCAGGGCGAATGGATAAGGATTGAGCCAAGAGCTTGTGTAAGCAAATCCAATTTTTGGCAGCGAATGTCAGTTACGCGGTTATGCAGAATGACGCTACGCGGTTTTGTACTTTAAACGATGA